ATGAGTTTGAGCAAGCTCTGGGATTTGGTGATGGACAGGGAAGCCGGGTGTGCTGCAGTCCATGGGGCTGCAAAGAGCCATACATGACTTAGTGACTGAACTGAACTGAACACCAACTTATTACCCTTGCCTGGCAACGTGCCGCTTGAATGAAGTGGGGAATATAATTAAAATATTCATTTGTTGTCACAGCACCTTTCACTCAATACATGACCAAATCATACACAGTATGCATTACATTTGTAATTATAGTATTACATATAAAAGGTGTTTATAGCTTTGCTAGTACAAGGAATGAAATGAGGCTATATTCTTTAATGGTATCTTATAGTTAGGTCTAAATTGGTCTAACAGTTTGTAATCTTTTTTTAACATCTACATTATTAAATTTTCACTGTTTTGGATATTCAAGACAACTGGTACTTGTTGCTTCTATGCTATGCTAACTTGGTTCTCAGAACTCTAATCTTTAGCAGAAACAAACTGTCTGGCTGATAGACAAAACTGATTTTTAATGCAAGCCAAAGTATAATAATAAAATGGGAAAAAAATTCTAGATCCTGAAGTTCTAACACAAAGGATTATCTTGAAGACTTTTTCAGAACCAAGAACAAGGATACTTAGAGCTGACAATCTTGAGGAGTTATGTTGAAATATGTACCAGTTACTGATACATTAAAAACAGAAGCAAACCAGACTGGGTATTTTTTAAAAGTTTACAAGGGAAAGCATTTCTTCTGAAATGTTACTCTCTTTTACTAAGCATTGCAAAGTACCATAATTAATTCTTACGATTCTAACAGTCCTAAAAGCAAGTCATAAAAAAGATATTTACTTGGGAGTATAAATTGGAATGACATTTTGCTAGGGCCACTTGAAAATATTTAGCAGAGTCTAACATGCATACCCACTGACTAAGCAACTCCAGTTTTAGAAATTTATCCTGAGAAAAGTGGCAGTGACACAGATCTAAGGACATTCATTACAGTGCTATGTGTAATAATAAAAACTGGAGAGCCTGAACATCCAACAAGGGACTGACCAAGCAACACGTGGTTCAGCATGTAAGGGAATACTATATGGCCATGATACAGAATACAAACCGAATATCATAAGATTATATATCACAAGGCAAAGTATTTATTATACACAGCTGAGGGGGAAAAAGCAAATTATAAGACTGTAGCATTATATAATCTCATCTCTGCTTAAAATATGCATAAGTATGTGGAAGGGCATATATACATGCATAAATTAATACCACTTATTGTTGAGTTTGGGATCACAGGTGATTTACTTCACTTCTTTTGAGGAATCTATACTCTGGTTTATCTACAGTGAATATATTTTCCTTATATAATAAAAAATATAAAATCTTTACTTGAGGTGGTGATGGTGGTTTAGTTGCTAAGTTGTATCTGACTTTTGTGACCCCATGGACTGTGGCCTGCCAGGCTCCTCTGTCCAAGGGATTCTCCAGGCAAGAATACTGGAGTGGGTTGCCATTTCCCTCTCCAATTTACTTAAGGCAACCACTGCAATTGTTAGTGTTTTCTTATTCTTATATTACTGAATATCATATGTACTAAAGGAAAGTGGTGAAGGGGAGAGAGAGAAGAAGAGAAAAAGGGATGAAGGCAGATAGACATTTATACTGTTTTTTATTTTATCATGTATATTTATTGTGAATTTTTATGTTAATAATCTGCAAAGAAGTGTCAATGGAACACCAGTAGTGAATAGTTAATGTTCACAAGACTGCAGTCTACTCTCATAGACTTAATTTTTTTTCCTTCCTCTTGGAATGCTAATTTTGTTGTATAAGGAGCAGGTGGCTTTCTTTTTTTGTAAGTCTCCCTACTGCCTTGTCAGACACAACTCTCAAAACTTTTTTGGGAGCTAACCAAACTTTATCTAACTAAACTCAAAATGGCATATGGACTTCATCTACATGGTCATACAAATCCTTTGGCTGATAACTCCTGCTATGTATCTAACTGGTTTTATAAAATCCATGTTTGAAGACGGTTTCTATAGCTAGAAGAGTGTGTGATGTTATGGGATGAAGGATGAGAAGAAGGAATGTCATGGCAAAGAGGTTCCTTTAGCTGCTACACTAGAGTCTGGTGCCCGTCACTACCACTATCAAATATTGGCAGTATATATCCCTACAAAGGAAGAATGCTAATCGTTGTGAGTGAAAAATTTCTATCACGCATTTCAGCTTAGATCTACTAATAACACTTTCTTAAATGCCTTGTTAGACAGTGAAATCTGGGAATAATTATCAAACACCATATACGGTGTTTACAATAGAATCATATTTCTTTTCTTTCTCTCCCCTGCCCACTTTTTTTTGCATAAAAAGTAGAACGCAGCTGAATGGTACCCAAATGTCTGTTGTATACCATGCCAATACAGCAGCTCGGCCAAAAATGCGAATAGAACAGTTTGCCAAGTAAAAGAAAACATAACAAATTGGTAATGGTTTCTATCTTGACAGAAAATGAAAATGATCCCTCAATGTGTGGTCACTCATGCGGACACATAAAAATGTCTTAGAAGCAATCATTTTACCTCAGATAACAGACCCTGGCAGTGTAGTACAGCACTGGCTGACTTTCACTTCTTAGAAAAGTGGCAAGCGTGACATACAAAACAGTCTGGGAACCATGTAATTTATGCATAACATACATGCATATGCCATGCACTCATAATATTTGCTATAAATCATTTTGAATATAAGACATCTTTTCCTAGTGGAATATATTTTATGAGAGATGATCTAAATCACCAGGGATCTGATAAAGCTGAACTGGTTTATACTGGTTTATTTATGAACAGAAGTGATGCCACTGCTTGTCAGGTTACAAGATTTCAATAGTTTACACTGCAACAGAAAGGCGGTAGATAAGAACCCCAGATATTTTAATTAGATGTTAGAGTAAAAAAATACAAAAAGTATGTAGGTACCTAGCATAGACTTCTGACATTCTGGTTAGGTAGCTGTAGTTGGAAGCAGAAAGGAACCCCTTGAAGACCTGGTAATGGTTCCTGTATCCTAATCCCTCTTTCTTTACCACTTATTTTTGTTTCCTAGATGGAGAACTAGCCAATATCATTGACCTGTGATTATTCCCCCCGCCACCCCCAATCTCGTGAAGTTTCCCATCTGTTTTAACTTTCTAATGAGGGTGTTAGAATATTGACTGTATTGTGAAATCACATCAAAAATAAGAATGACACTTTGAAAAACACTAATTGATATCTGATGCTAATGAGGGATTCAAAATAAGAGGACATGGAACCAAGGGACTAGGAAGAACCTTGGGAAGTTAAATGGTCTTGCCAAGTTGAAAGTAAATTTGAATCCTGTGGGTTATGAGTTTCAAATGAAATTTCTGGGTTTAAATTTGTTGGTGACTTTCCTGTTCAATAAAAAAGGACTTAAATGGCTTATAAAAAGGTTAAAAAAACTTATTGGGCATCAAACTGCTCTTACAAAACACCATCTTGATGAGTTAAGTGTAAATGAATCAGAAACACATGGATCATATTTCCTTAAAAAATGCATATGGATTCAAAAATAAGAGGAAGAGGACTTGGCAAAACATTTTTTTGTGTGTGGTGGCTGAACCCAAAACATTTGCAAGATATTTTGAGACATTCAAGGAATCCAAAATAAAACTAAACCTGTCCAGTCATATAAAAAAAACAGAAAGTTCTTTGCAATGTGCATTTATCTCTATGGGTCACTCACCACTCACTGAGCCTTCACCTTTGGCAAAGAACTATGGGATAAGCCAGCTTCTGTCGTAAGCAACTTTGAATTTAAGTATAAACAAATACACATAAGCAATAGAAACCTATTAAAAGAGACTCAGGGTTTTACAAACATTGGCATCATAACCCAAATCATACAGAAATTATAGACTGAGAAATGCACAAGTGCTTTCAGGATCGTATGGTAGGTAAGATTTATCCCATTCAACTCATCATCACCTGGCCCTTTTGACTAAAGTAAGATATAGTTGCACAGTCTTACTTGCTTAAATGTTTTCTTAGTAAGTGTTTTTATGTCCTTTTAAATGTGTGTTCCAGCCCTCTTTCCTCCACCCTCTAGATTTGTGAGTGCTCAACAAATCTTGCTGACTGGTTTCCTGGAGCATGGGAGTGCTGAACAGTGTTTTGAAATGGGGGAGAGATGCCGTTTGGCAGAGGGGAGTGAGGCTGTGATTCTGGGTTGGGGTAATGGCACAGTGTGACAGTTTAGAGGCTCCAGAGAGTGAGTCATGTGTGGGGGTGACCCACTGGCTTGCTTGCAGCAACGTGCCTGAGCCAGGGTGTCATGGGAGGTGGAGGCAGTTAGGTGTGGGGAGGCCTAATATACTACATGTGAAGTCAACTGGAGGACAGAGGAGAATGATTAGAGAAAGCACAATTCTTTTTTTTTTTTCGCCAGTATAGGATAAAGTGTTAAGCACAGGACATTAATCCCTTTAATTCTTATCAGTGTCTTTAAAAGCTGAAAAATATCCAAAGATAAAAATGAGTTAACTATGTATGTATTGCTAGGAGCCAAGAGATCATAAATTTGAAGAGGAACTTAGTAGGATTATGAAATAGACTAACGAGTTCTAAAGTGTTTGTGGGAAAAGTGTAAAAAAATTAATGACTCAGAATTTTTTAAGACTGTTTTCTAGTTGATAAACGTTGAGTCTTATCTTTTCCATGATATTAAAAAATTATTTAGGGCAAGGATAGTGTCATATATTTCCTGTGTATTTTCTACTGGATAATACAATAGTGGGAATACACAAAGCACTAAATAAATGCTTACTGAACTGAAATGGAGTAAAAGGATGTTGAGACCATATAAGATGAGAATATAATCGAAGGTAAAGTCTGAAAAAAAAAAAAGCATGCTATAACTGTTTTAATAGCGTCTCTGCTCTGAGTCCATTTGTTCATAGTTAACATAAAGAAATCAAAGGCCTTACCATCCTTCATCATCTTCTACTTCTGTTTCAGAAATGTCATTTTCAGGAGTTTCAGCAATTGCTTGAGTGAGTTTAGATTTAAACTGGTTCAGCAGCGCAAGAGTCTGAAATAACAATTAGGACTGCTAAACTTCCTGATAAGAATAAATATAATTTCAGAAGACACTTAAATTTGGTAGAAGAGAAAATATCCCTCCATAAAACAATTTTCTAACTTTGAAGGAAAATAACAAAACTGCCCTCCAATTATAACCGTGATTGATATTCACAAACCATGACATTGCCCTGTTTGCATTTGCACTGACATTTGCCCCCAGGAATATGTGACTATTTCTGATTTGGGGGATATAAACGTGTTTATATAGAAGACATTTAAACTTTAAAATGCATGCTTACTAAGAGCTAAGTTTTTAGGGTACACAAGATATTAACACTTCACTAAGACATGTGAAATCAAAAACAAAACACCACCAACAAAGAACACTTCTCATTGACCGAATTTCCAAAAATGTAAAGATGTCAGTGTTGGGAAAGGAGAGATGAATGAACACACTGATTGTCGGAAGGTGGGTAAACTGGAGTGACATCTTTGGGAAGCTTTTTATATGTGTCAGAAACAATAAATGCTCATTGCTTTTGATTCAGTAATTCCAATCCTGGTAATACATGTAGAAAAATAATCTGAAGCACCGAAAATGGCTTATGCAAAAGATGTACACTGCAGCAGTATTCATACAAGTGAAAAAAGGAAATGTTAAATGTCTATTTGTAAGAAAATAGATAAATTTGGTAAAAAGCAGTGCATATGTAATTACACTATTATTAAAACTATATTCATGAAGTATTGTATTGTTAAATGAAAGAAGAAGGATATAACAATCATGTTGAGTATATTTTTATAAAAAAGGGACCAGTCCTCTGATTTTTTTTTTTTGACTCCCATGCCCTTTACAGGTAAGAGGAAGCAACAAGTGCCTGAAATTTTAATCGTATTGTCTCCAGCCATACCTTAACAATTTGTTTCAGAATTTGAGCAGAGAAATCAGAAATTAGAAAAAAAATTTTATTCTATAGTTTTAGAAGATACATAACTGTGAAATGGGATAAAGTACCACCTGTCTAAAAAAAAATCAAGTTTCTAATTAAGACAATGGTGCAATGAATTCAGTACTGAAATAGAGTTGACCCCTAAACAGCATGGAGGTTAAGGGCACCCATGCTCTGAGCAGTTGAAAATCTGCCCTCTCTCTACTTCTGTAGTTATGCAACCATTCGTGGTTAGTCCAGGACTGTCGTATATATTTACTGAAAGAAATTTGAGTATAATGGACCCGTGAAGTTCAAAGCTGTGTTGCTCAAAGGCTAACCATACTTACATTTCATAAGGGAAAATGTGTAATAGTTCAATGTGTGAAAAACAGATACCAATGTGTGAAAAACAAGTTACTGAGTCATGGTAACTTGGAGGCTCCAGAATTTATCTAAAATATCATTAAGACCATAGTTTATGAAAAAATTAAGTAGGTGTTGGTGGCCTAGAACCTAGGCTCGCTAAGACGTGGTGTCAAAATAACTACAAGAAACAAAGGAAATGAGTATATGTGCTGCTGAAGCGAGCACAAAACAAAGGAAATTATTGTTAAAAAATGATAGGTAAAAGTGCCTTACATGTTTTTGTAAGATTTAATGCCTGCATAGACAATAGCTGAAAATACACACATTACCATAGTTGCTTAATGAGATGAGTTTTAAGGAGAAACTATAAATTCCTATAGAATATCCTCATAAGCATTTTAAGGGCTGCTAGTGAGTTAGGGTTTAGATATTTTATTTCTTTCTAAAGTAGTAATTAAAGGATTAAGCTCTTCAAACAATGTTAATAAAGAAAACATCCTTTATTTTAAAAGCTTATTCATTTAAAAAAAAAACCCTTCTGCCTACAAACTTTTATTGTATTTGCTTTATAATAAGGAAAGAAATTATTGTAGAAATATTAGAAAACAAAGACAAGCAAAATAAAAATATCTACTATCCCACCACTAAAAATTAGTAACCACTGTGGACATATGGTATATATCCTACAGGGCTTCCTAAGTGTTTCTGGGGTGTATATGTGTATGTTTTTATATATTTATATATTTTATAAACACGTATCTCTACATGCATATCTATCTATCACTTAAAAGCAAACCCCATCAATTTTTAATGGTGGATTTTCACAAATTTAGAAATGTCTTCTCTGGGGACATAAATAAAAATGAAAACAAAGGAGATTTCTTAGTGAAGTCTTAGAAATTTTAAAACTTCCTAGAAAATTACTAGACATGGATCTTATTCTTTTGAGGTGAAAATGGTAAGACAGTCTGTTTTTAGAGCCAATTAATGTGATATTGGCATTTGGTCAAAGGAGGAGAGCTGGGACTATGACAAGCAAAAAATATCCTTGTGGCCTTTGTTTTTGTTGTTCAGTCGCCAAGTCATGCATGACTCTTAGTGACTCTATGGGCTACAGCATGCCAGGCTCCCCTGTTCTCTACTATCTCCTACATAGAGTTTGCTTCGATTCATGTCCACTGAGTCGGTGATGCTGTCTAACCATCTTATCCCCTGCAGCCCATCTTCTCCTCTTGCCATCAGTCTTCCCCAGCATCAGGGTCTTTTCAATGAGTGGGCTCTTTGCATCAGGTGGTGAAATACTGGAGCTTCAGCTTCAACATCAGTCCTTCCAGTGAATATTCAACATCAGTCCTTCCAGGGTTGATTTTCTTTAGGACTGACTGGTTTGATCTCTCTGAAGTCCAAAGGACTCTTAAGAGTCTTCTCCAGCACCACAATTCAAAAGCATTCATTTTTTGGCGCTCAGCCTTTTTTATTGTCCAGTTCTCACATCCATACATGACAACTGGAAAAACCATACCTTTGACCATACAGACCATTGTTGGCAAAGTGATGTCTCTGTTTTTTAATATGTTGTCTAGATATGTCATAGCTTACCTTCCAAGGAGCAAGCTTCTTTTAATTATCATGGCTGCAGTCACTGTCCACAGTGATTTTGGAGCCCAAGAAAATAAAATTTGTTACTACTTCCACTTTTTCCCCTTCCATTTGCCATGAGTTGATGGAAGTGAATGCCATGATCTTCGTTTTTTGAATGCTGAGTTTCAAGCCAGCTTTTTCACTCTCCTCTTTTACCTTCAAGAGGCTCTTTAGTTCCTCTTCACTTTCTGCCATTAGAGTAGCATCATCTGCGTACCTTCAGTTGTTGACATTTCTCCCGGCAACCTTGATTCTAGCTTGTAATTCATCCAGCATGGCATTTCATATTACGTACTCTGCATATAAGTTAAATAAGCAAGGTGACAATATACAGTCTTGTTGTACTCCTTTCCCAATTTTGAACCAGTCCGCTGTTCCATGTAAGGTTCTAACTGTTGCTTCTTGACCTGAATATAGGTTTCTCAGGAGACAAGTAAGGTGGTATTCCCAGACAAATAAGTCTGGTATTCCAAACTCTTTAAGAACTGTCCACAGTTTGTTGTGATCCACACAGTCAAAAGATTTAATTTAGTTGATGAAGCAGAAGTAGATGATTTTCTGGAACTTGCTTGCTTTCTCCACGATCCAATGAATGTTGGCAATTTCATCTCTGGTTCCTCTGTCTCTTTGAAACCCAGCTTGTAAACTTGGAAGTTCTTGGTTCACATACTGCTGAAGCCTAGCTTGAAGGATTTTGAGTATTACCTTGCTAGCATGTGAAACAAGTGCAAATGTGCAGTAGCTTGAACATTCTTTGGCATTGTCTTTCTTTGGGATTGGAATGAAAACTGTCCTGTACCAGTCCTGTGGCCACTGGTGAGTTCTCCAAATTTTCTGACATATTCAGTGCAGCATTTCACATTCAGCGTACCAGTCAATTTCACAACATTTATCTTTTAGGATTTGAAATAGCTCAGGTGGAATTCCATCACCTCCACTAGCTCTGTTTGTAGTAATGTTCCCTAAGGTCTACTTGACCTCACACTCCAGGATGTCCAGCTCTAGGTGAGTGACCATACTGCTGTGGTTCAGCTCAGTTCAGTTCAGTCACTCAGCTGTGTTTGACTCTTCGCAACACCATGGACTGTAGCACGCCAGGCTTCCATGTCCATCATCAACTCCCAGAGCTTACTCAAAGTCATGTCCATCCAGTTGGTGATGGCATCCAACCATCTCATCCTCTATCATCCCCTTCTCCACCTGCTTTAATCTTTCTCAGCATCAGGGTCTTTTCCAATGAGTCAGTTCTTTGCATCAGGTAGCCAGAATACTGGAGCTTTAGCTCAGCATCAGTCCTTCCAATGAATATTCAGGACTGATTTCCTTTAGGATTGACTGGTTGGATCTCCTTGCTGTCCAAGGGACTCTCAAGAGTCTTCTCCAACACCACAGCTCAAAAGCATCAATTCTTCGGTGCTCAGCTTTCTTTTTGGTCCAATTCTCACATCCATACATGGCTACTGGAAAAACCATAGCTTTGACTAGACAGACCTTTGTTGGTAATGTCTCTGCTTTTTAATATGCTGTCTAGGTTGGTGATGGCTTTTCTTCCAAGGAGCAAGAGTCTTTTAATTTCATGGCAGCAGTTACCATCTGCAGTGATACTGGAGCCCCCAAAAAGAAAGTCTGTCACTGTTTCCATTGTTTCCCCATCTATCTGCCATGAAGTGATGGGACCAGATGCCATGATCTTCGTTTTTTGAATGCTGAGTTTTAAGCCAGTTTTTTTCACTCTCCTCTTTCACTTTCATCAAGAGGCTCTTTAGTTTCTCTTCACTTTCTGCCATAAGGGTGGTGTCATCTGCATATCTGAAGTTATTGATATTTCTCCTGGCAATCCTGATTCCATCTTGTGCTTCATCCAGTCCGGCATTTCACATGATGTATACTGCATATAAGTTAAAATAAGCAAAGTGACAATATACAGCCTTGACATACTCTTTTTGCAGTTTGGAACCAGTCCATCATTCCATGTCTGGTTCTATCTGTTGCTTTTTGCCCTGCATACAGATTTCTCAGGAGGCAGGTAAGGTGGTCTGAGAGTATTCTCCACTCTAAGAATTTTCTACAGTTTGTTGTGATCCACACAGTCAAAGGTTTTAGAGTCATCAATGAAGCAGAAGTACATGTTGCTTTGCGATTCTCTTGCTTTTTCTGTGATCCGACGTATGTTGGCAATTTCATCTCTGGTTCCTCTGCCTTTTCTAAATCCAGCCTGAGCACCTGGAAGGTCTCAGTTTACATACTGTTGAAGCCTGTCTTGGAAAATTTTGAGCATTACTTTGCTAGCATGTGAGATGGGTGTGTGGTAGTCTGAACATTCTTTGGCATTGCTTTTCTTTCGGATTTGAATGAAAACTGACCTTTTCTAGTTCTGTGGCCACTGCTGAGTTTTCCAAATTTACTGGCATATTGAGTGCAGCACTTTTACAGCATCATCTTTTAGGATTTGAGATAGCTCAACTGGAATTCCATCACCTCCCCTAGCTTTGTTTGTAGTGATGCTTCCTAAAGCCCATTTGACTTCGCATTCCGGGATGTCTGGCTATAGGTGAGTGACCACAGCATCATGATTATCTGGGTCATGAAGATCTTTTTTTGTATAGTTCTTTTGTGTATTCTTGCCACCTCTTCTTAATATCTTCTGCTTCTTTTAGGTCCATACCATTTCTGTCCTTTATTGTGCCCATCTTTGCATGAAATGTTCTGTTGGTAGCTCTAGTTTTTGTGAAGACATGTCTAGTCTTTCCTATTCTGTTGTTCTCTATTTCTTTGCATTGATCACTGAGGAAGGCTTTCTTATATCTCCTTGCTATTCTGTGGAACTCTGCATCCAGATGGATGTATCTTTCCTTTTCTCCTTTGCCTTTAGCTTCTCTTCTTTTCTCAGTTATTTGCAAGGCCTCCTCAGACAACTGTTTTGCCTTTTTGCGTTTTTATCTTGGGGATGGTCTTGATCACTGCCTCTTGTACAATGTTACAAACCTCTGTCCACAGTTCTTCAGGAACTCTCTTTATCAGATCTAATCCCTTGAATCTATTTGTCACTTCCACTGTACAATTGTAAGGGATCTAATTTAGGTCATACCTGAAAGGTCTAGTGGTTTTCCCTACTTTCTTCAATTTAAGTATGGATTTTGCAATAAGGAGGTCATGATCTGAGCCACGGTCAGCTCCTGGTCTTGTTTTTGCTGACTGTATGGAGCTTCTCATCTCTGGCTGCAAAGAGTAGAATCAGTCTGATTTTGGTGCTGGCCGCCTGGTTACGCCCGTGCGTGGAGCCGTCTCTTTGCCGTTGCGGCTATCCGGTCCTGAAGCACGCTTTCTGTGGCTGCGCGGGTCAGTGAGGCGCACGGGGCTCTGCTGTGTATCTGTGCCCGCGTTCTTGGCCTCGTCTGCTTCCGTCAGGCCCGCGCCATTCCTGTCCTTGTGGGGCCCATCGTTACATGGAACGGCCCTGGGTGACTCAATTTTGTTCAAGAGATCTCTAGTCTTTTCCATTCTATTGTCTTCCTCTATTTCTCTGCATTGCTCATTTAAAAAGGCCTTATCTCTCTTTGCCATTCTCTGGAACTCTGCATTTGGCTGTTCTTTCTAAACATTTCCTATTTTCAAGATTGGACTTTCTCTAGTTGCATTTGAAAGGTAACACAGATACTAGCCAAAAAATCAGACACTGTGGAAAAAAATGGAAGAAAATAGGATCTGCATGGAGGTATTTCTGTTTGGCATCCAGAGGAATCAGTCTTCTGGCTCCTGCAGGAGTGAAGGACTAACCACTAACTACATTCTCTTCAGCACAGAGTGAGCCTTCCAGCTGTGTTGATGAAGAAGCTGTGTTGATGGCGCCTCCCCTGGTAGACCTTTTGCACACATGTGTATACATGGGTCTCTCAAATGGCATTTGCTCCTCTAGTCCTGCCCCGGGTTCTCTACTCTCCGTACAGCAACCAGGTCGAAGGGATCTTCCCAAACTGCAAATGAGATTATAATACCTTCTTTGATGTCTCCCCATTGCTTTTAGGGTAAATCTCAACTCCTTCATATGGCTCAAAAATATCTTGTGTGAACTGGCTCCTGCTTACCTCTCCAGCCTCATCTCTTTCTTTCTCTTAGTTTAAGTTCCAGTCATACTTAACATCTTTTAGTTCTTTGCAAAGAGGTTAAAGACTTCTCATATACTATTCTTGTCTAGCCATGTATCTCCTCACTAACCCTCAAAGCTCAGCTGACAAATCATTTTCTCAGGGAAGCCTTTCTGGATTCTTATGCCATAATAGGTCCTACTCTGATACATTTACATAATTTCCTGTATCTCACCTGTCATAATGCTCATCCCCTTTTGTTGGTATTACTTGTTTAACTGCCTTTCTTTCTGATAGCTCAGAGAAGATAGCGATGTTTCTGCCTTGTTTACCACCAATTACAGTGCTGGGGACATGGTAGATTTTTAATAATTATTTACTAGGAGGAAGAAAGAGAAATGCAAGAATAACAGTGATCCTTAACATCTTTTGGTAATACATTCAGAGGACTTTGCGACTCCATGAAAACAAGTTAATAAAGCACTTTTCTTAATTTCATTTGATGTGCCATCTCTTTTGAAAATTGCACATAAGTTAGTTCTCTGTAATTATAATTTCCTATACCTGAATTCTCGTTGAATTTTCCCTATGATTATTTTCACGCTAGGCACTGATGCGTGATCTTCCTTACCAGTAATTAGGTGTCATTTATAATATAGTTCCTGATTAGATTAATTTATTCAAACAGGCTTGGGCTTTTTAATTTACTTTTGCCTGTTTTATTTATATGCCTAAAATGATATGTTCTCATATATATATATGGCAGCACCAAATATAAATAATTTTAGTCTGCCCCCCTAGCTTTTCAACATAAAGGGCTGCTCAAGGGATCCATCTCATCAAGTGCCAAGTGCTGCATGGTGTTGACCCCTAAGTTGTTGAGCTAACTTCCTATCTTTTTTATTCTTGATTTCTGACAATCTTCTTATATTACTAGCTGAAAATTCAGGAGTTACTTTCAGTAAAGAGCGTTTGGCAATATTGCTTATGGCAGAAGTTAACTAGCAGACCAAGTGCCTTGTTTACAGGCAGTACACTATTTCAAGCGAAGCTGGCTGGGCAGCAGGTGAGCTGCTGAGCCCTTCATCATTTATAATTACGGTCTCATAATATTCACTTAGCAAAGATTCTGTCTGAGTGTCTGGTAATATGTGGTTTTACCAGGTTCCTGTGTTTAATTAGGGAGGACTTTCCTGGAGGTTCAGATGGAAAAGAATCTGCTGGAAATGAGGGAGACCTGGGTCAGTTCCTGCGTCAGGAAGATCCCCTAGGATGCCTAAGGTCTATACCAGGTCCCCATGATTTAGGCTTCCTAGGTGGCGCTATTGGTAAAGAACCCACCTGCCAATGCGGAGTCGTAAAGAGACCTGAGATCAATCCCTGGATAAGGAAGATACCCTGGAGGAGGGCATGGCAACCCACTCCAGTATTCCTGCCTAGAGAATCCCTTGGACAGAGGAGCCTGGCAGGCTACAATGCATGGGGTCGCAAAGAGCCGGACATGACTGAAGCGACTTAGCACGCATGCACAAAGTTAAAATCTGAGAGTCTTAGGCTTTATACCTTTCTATCTGGAAAGAACTCTATCTAATCTGGATCTTTGCTTGAACGGCCAAGGTCCTGGTCACCTCACTGTATGTTAATATATCCTTTTTCATTTTTAAGACGTAATGTTTTCCCTCATATATAATCAAAATAGGTTGCGTTGACAACTCCTGCATACAATTAAAAGGCAATGAATTGCATATGGATTTTGGTTTGTGAAGTTACCTGGTCTTCCCGGGAAGTTCCTGTCTTTGCCTGCTGCTTCCTCAAAGCTTCATATTTTTGCTTTTCTCGTCTGTATTCTGCAACAGCACCATCTGGAGCAGCCTCTTCCTCTGAGGAATAATAGACTAGTTTTAGAATAAACAGTAAAAAGGCTGTATGGATTCATACTGAAGTCTATGAATGTCTATCGCTGAAGAGGAGGTCAGAACCTGGGACTGCTTTTCCTCCATTAAAAAAAAGAAAACTCTTTCTGGCTTACTTCACTCTGTATAATGGGCTCCAGTTTCATCCATCTCATTAGAACGGATTCAAATGTATTCTTTTTAATGGCTGAGTAATATTCCATTGTGTATATGTACCACAGCACTGGGATGACCCAGAGGGATGGGGTGGGGAGGGAGGTGGGAGGGGGGTTCAGGATGGGGAACACATGTAAATCCATGGCTGATTCATGTCAATGTATGGCAAAAACCACTACAATACTGTAAAGTAATTAGCCTCCAACTAATAAAAAAAAAAACAACTCAACAAACAAACCAATAAACTCTACAAGCTCCACAATGATTTCCTAAATTAGAAAGTGACTGATGTTAATTAAACAACCAATTTTAATGTCTTTATTTTATACTGTACTATTATAGTTGTTCTCACTTGTAATTATTTGACTTTAAATCACCTATCTCACCTTTATTTTTTTTTTTTGTATTTTTTTTCTATCTCACCTTTAAAATAAGATATTCCTAAAATTCAGCAATACCATTTCATATTACTCCTTTGCCTTACAAGATATAGTCCTTCAATATTGGTTGATTTTCCAATTACTTGCCACTTCTGCTCCCCAGTTAAAGCAATAACAAAACAACAACAAACAACTTCGATTTAATAGCATTACAGAATACATATATATCTAATAAAAATCAGGACAGTTACCCAGAAGCAGATGAAAGTAATCTTTACTAAATTAGAAATGAGAAAAAAATAATTATGGATTTGATCCTGCAATAAATTCCATACAAAAATTAGTTAACATCTGGGTTCACAGAATACAGTGTTGCCTCAAAAAAAAAAGTACCAATATTTTACAATACTTACATTTATATATATTAATGAAAATTTGTGACTTAAGAAAAAAACCTATACCTTCTCATCTTTGGCTGACAAACCAAGATGAGCCAGTTGTAATCAAGAATATCACAAACTGTTCTATTCAAGCCTTGGTTTGTTGCTTGCCTCTTTGTTACCTAGTTTGAGAAGAATAATTAATGTGTAATATACTAATAACCAGCCATTTTGTTCAAGAGATTATCTAGTTAAAAAAATTTTTCTTTTTTCTTAAAAAAAAAAAAGAAACAAGGAGTATTCTTATGGTTACCTAATATGATTTTTATGTCAAAGGGTACAAAGATTCAATCATGTGGGATAGGAAGGTTCTGGAGATTTAAGGTACAGCATGGTAAATACAGTTAATAATACTGTATTGTATACCTAAAATTTACTAAGAAAGTTGATCACCACACATACGCAAACAAAGTGTAACATTGTGAGGTGATGGATATATGTTAATTAGCTAGATTGTAGTTATCTAATTCTTGGTAATTATGGTTTCTCTAGTTCTTAGTCTTCTGAGATTTTTAACTGTCTGTTTTTTCAGATGTGTTTCTTCTCCTCCTTTTTAAATTTCTAGCCAAAATGAACAAACAGCTTTACAATAGCTGTGAGATCAGCTGGTCTTTAATTATACACATCTGTGATGCCAGGAATAAGCCTGCTAAGGTTCCATTTGGACTGCATAGAAACTGTAACTCAAACACTTCAACATGGTACAGATAGCCAAATACAATGATTATCTGTTTCACAAACCCACCTGTGCGAAAAAATATGGTCAACTCTCGTATTTCCTAATGGGGCATATTATATCAGTATAAAGCACTTCTGTTTATAGTGTGATCAAATGTTCACAACACATTCATTTTTCATGTTTTTATTCCTCAGTACTATACTCTGAGTAATTTCCTTAGCTCTACTCTAGTTCACTAATTCTCTGTTTAGTTGTATCTAATCAGTTTTAAGACATAAACTGAGTTGTTGATTTTAATAATCATATCTTATAATTCTAGATATTCTATTTCCTTTTCAAATTCACCCATGTTTTTGGTAGCCTAAGTTTTTTATTATGATTTTTATATATTTAAAAATTTCTTTATCTTAAACACACTTGTTATGTTTTATCTTTTGGGTTACTCTTGTAGTTGCTTTTGTTGTGGCTTCTGACTCTCTCCCCACAGTGGTTAATCTCCATGCGTTTCCTCATTTTTGATTCTGAGTGTGCCTACAGCTAGAGCTGCATCTCCATCATGCTCCTGAGGAGTCCCGGGCACCCAGGACTGTGTCAGCATCACTACAGAGAGCTTCTGCATTTGTTTCCACCAGGAAATTAAGGGGTTCCATTAGTGCACAGCCATTTTCCCCCAAGTTAATTTCCTGGCTTAGGATTTCTGTACTACATAGGTAGTGTACATTCAGACTTTATAGCTGTGCCTGGTAGCAGTTTAGAGTTTTTATTTTTTATGACAGACTTTTTTTTTTCCCTTCCATATATAGTTATGAAAAATGACGAGCTTCTTTGTGGACTTCCTGACCAGGAGGACAGTTTTTCTAGTTCCTTCCTCTCTTGATCCAAGACTGTATCTCTAAGTGTGATGTTAAAACCGGAGCTTCTAGCTATCAGAGCCTACATCTGGTTTCAATATCCCCCTGGGCAACTACTGTGTCAATTTGAGCATTTAATGCTCTAGTTAGGCCTCCCCTTTGTTTCTAGTACCTAGGACTTTTCTTTTCTTTCTTGCCCTCTCTCTCTCACTTCCACTTTCCCTAACCCCCGCCAGCCCCCTCTCTGTCTCTTTGAAGCTTAGCTAAATATTTATTTTTTAATTGGAGGATAACTGCTTTACAATGTTGCATGGGTTTCTGTCTTACAAGGTGAATCAGCCTTCTTTCTTGAGCCTTCCTCTCGCCCCGCCTCCATCCCACTGCCTGCATCATCACAGGACACTTGGCTGGCCTGCCTGTGTCACACAGCAGCTTCCCGCTAGCTGTTTTACACGTGGTAGAGGGTACCTGTCGATGCTTCTCTCTCACTCTCCTTCCCATGTTGTGTCCATAAATCCATTCTCTGTATTTGGGTCTCTATTCCTGCCCTGCAGATGGGTTCATCAGTACCATTTTCCTAGATTCCATATATATTTAGCTAAGATTTAAATTGGGCTGGATCATATTTTATCTAGCATTTCTATGTATTTGGAGAAAGATGTTCTGTTTTAACTCAGTCCATGTGGCCAGAAGAAAAAGTAGCACATTCATGGCTTCTCTAGTGGCTCAGACGGTAAAGAATCTGCCTGCAATGTGGGAGACCTGGGTTTGATCCCTCACTTAGGAAGATCCCCTGGAGAAGGGAATGGCTATCCGCTACAGTATTCTGGCCTGGAACATTCCATGGACAGAAGAGCCTCACAGGCTACAGTCCACGGGGTTGCAAAGAGTCGAATATGACTAAGCAACTTTCACTTTCACTTTGAATGCCCTGAATAAGCAAAAATTGAGTAAGTGACGGGATGATGTTAGTGACATTAAACTATCTAATAAAATAGAAAAGGGGCTTGAAAAAAAATCAGTTTAAGTACAGAATGTTCCACATCTAATACCATTCTTAAAAATCTCAATATATGCTGGATAATTTATAAATAATAATGCAACATGACAACTATTTGTAATTAACTGAAATCTCAACAAAATGTATGCTAAATAACTTGGAATGGATGAAAGAATGGGGGAAAAAGAACATTTACTAAATACCTACTATATGTTAGGTAACATGCTAAGGTTCTTTGACTCTTCATAAAGAAAGCATCTATAAACATATTTTACAAATTAGGAAACAGGGTTAATACCACAATTCAGTTCAGTTCAGTTCAGTCACTCAGTTGTGTCCAACACCACAATTAGAATATACTAAAGCTGTAACTTGAACCCAAGTCTCTCTGATACTAAAATCTCATACTGTGCCCTACTGTCTTCAATTAAAAGTTCAATTCAGAAAACAAAACTTAATGTGTTCCCACTGTATGCCTGACACTATAAACGATATCTAAAGTAAACACGATATAGGCTTTTCATTCTAGAAAGTAATCTGATGGGTAAAGTAAACATAATATATGTAAAAATAGTTAAGAAATCAAGCCACTGATTATAAGTATTAAGTTGCTGATTCTTGGATAGACTTATAGCCACCAAGAGAGGGTTTAAATCTTACCTATGCTATTGTTGTGTTAGTCGTTCAGTCGTGTCCAACTCTTTGTGACCCCATGGACTATAGCCTGCCAGGCTCCTCTGTCCATGGGATTTCCCAGGCAAGAATACTGGAGTGGGTTGCCATTTCCTTCTCCAAGGGATCTTCCCGACCCAGGGATTGAACCTTGGTCTCCTGCACTGCAGGTGCATTCTTTACCACGTGAGCCACCAGGGAAGCCATTACTTGTGCTATAGTGTTAGAGTGAAAAAAAAGTGTGAAAGTGAAGTCGCTCAGTTGTGCCTGACTCTTTGTTACACCACGGGCTACAGCCTGCCAGGCTCTCCTCCATCCATGGGATTGTCCAGGCAAGAATACTGGAGTGGTTTGCTATTTCCTTCTCCAAGGAAGCCTGCATGGTATTAGAATAACAAAATTTAAATATATTAGTGACCTCCAAGATAATATTAGAAAATATATTTAAAAGGATTTGGTGACAAGAATGTCCAACATCACTATAACCATCAATTTACTATTACAGCATCAATTTATTAGAGCACCAGAACTTAGCTAGTGTCCCATGTGGATTAGAAGCAGAACTTGGGCTAAAACTTATGTTCTGAGTTTTAGTGACATTAATACTATACTTTCTCCCCTGTGTGTTATAAAGAATGTCTCTAACTCTTCTCTAAGAACTAGTCAGAAACATAATCTTTGTTCCACTTGACTCTCTTCATTACAAAACTATTTTGTTCTGAGCAGAAAGGGGTGATGACTACTCAATTATTGGTTACTTAGCTAATGAACCAATGGTATCCATCTACA